GTATATGAAGTATTACTACTATACTTGTACCTAAGGTAAGGACGTGTTATGTGTAGATCGAAGATCGTGTCTTAAAGAAAGATGAACAAAAAAAGATGGATGGATTGTGTGAAATATGATATGTATAGAAGATGAGTAAGCTCAGAAATGACAGCTAATAGGGATGAAAGTGTGAAGACGAATAAATATGACGCCGTCTTCAAATAATACTAGCAACCCACTTCGGCAGTGCGTATTATTTGTAATTTAATTATTTATTTCAGGCTATTTATATATTATAAATACCTTATAGACTAGTATACATATGAAATAATATTATAAAAATAAGATATTGAAATTGTGTGGTCACAGCACTGACGACGGCCATCTGCCACGGTAGCGCCGATACACCACATCCTTCGATAATGCCTAGGTATATGCTTAATTAAACCTTTAATGATGGTTTTGGGTATGAAATAATAGGGCACGGAGGATGGTGACATCACATGCGTGGTGCCCGTCATGTACTTATATAGACGACGGTTACCACTTACCATCAGATGATGGCCGTCATCAGTCAATTATAGGTAAAAAAAAGAAGTTCAAGAAATAATAGTGAAAACCATATTAAAATACATTGTTTAGAAGTAAGCAGAGGAGAAAAAGACAAACACAGCGCCTTTGCTTTATTTATACTATTTATAGAAGTTGTATTGAATCAATAACCGTATATATTTTCATTTACGTGCCGTTGTATATATTAGTAGATACTCTAAAAATGTACAAATGTACATTCGCTTTAGCAATAAGGTTCAAAACTTAAATTTAAATCATTTATTAATGTTGGACATTATTGCCGCTTATGAGCGTAAAGTTTTTGTATAATTTTTTTAATCATTATTATAATCTATTCCTGTTAGAAACTAGTGTCAGACACAGGAAAAACCTGTAATACAGATCACCAGGCCCCTAACCTAGGTGTAGTTTAATTAATTACTAATTAAATAAATAAATGTGATATTGCAAATAATCTTATAGATAAAATGCTAATTTTTAAAGAGTAGATGTGACGACAACCACGTACCTACTAGTTAATCATTCAATAGGTCAACCATACCTTTTATTTTATTATAATGTATTTGATATCATTATATTAATACGTGAAACAAAAACTTTGTACCTACCCATTTTTAGAGAATTTCGCGGACTGAGGCTAAGACATTTTGCACACTTATAGTTGATATAGAGTAGGAGGGAAGAATGCTAATATTTTGTTAAAATCATGCATAAAAATACATAAAATCAATAAAAGAAAATATTACACACACTACCATGTATACCACTATATTTGACGTACATATATAATCTCTTTTGTTTATTATTATCGTCTGTGGTCAAATTGACAAAAGATTGTTATTGTTTGTCTATAATATTATTTATCTTTGACTAGTGGTTATCTAGCGGTTCAGCACACGGCTTTACTTCTGATAGTCGCGGATTCGATTCGTCGCACGATGCAAACATTTCTATTCATAAGTTTGATTGTTTGTATCGGTCGGGGTGTTTTCTACGTATGTATATTATGTATATATTTACAAAAAATATTATTTTTAACTATTTAAGTATATCAGTTATCTAGTAACCCATGACATAAGCTCTGTTATCGTGGGACTAGATGGCGCTATATTAATTGATTAGTATTATTTATATTTATTTATTTACTATCTTAATTTATTATCTTATTAGTTATACGGAATGTTAAATTAATTATAGTCGAATTGCGACCACTAGTTTAAATAAATAAGATATAGCAAATAATCTTATAGATAAAATGCTAATTGTTAACAAGCATATGTGACAATAAACACGTAGCTACCAGTAAATCATACAAAAGCCAACCAAACTGTATATTTTATTATAATATACTTGATATACATCACGTTCAATATATATTTTTCCTTGTTTGTCTTCTTGAGATGTAGGTAATTACTTAGTCATTACTATATGTACATATAATAGGTACCTAGGTAATACTATAACTGTATTACTTTTTTTATATGTATCTATATCTATGTAGGTACCAAAGCTCTTTGGAGTAGCCTGACGAGGTATATTGCTAGCAATGGGGTTATACCCCCAGACAGAAGCATTTAGCATTAATAATGTAATAAGATGACATTATCTTATCACATTGAAACTTTATAATGGGACTGGTCATAGGCTTGTGGGTCACGTTTGTGGTTTTGTGGCATTAATAGGTATATAGTACCTATATACAGAATATACAAAAGATGACGACAGTATCCCAATTTGTAGCAATGCAGGCGGGTGCATCATTGTATTATCATCCATAAAAAAATGTGTCTTTATTCGATTTGTCTTTTTATTGCGCAATCCTAAAGAATAAATATTCAACAAAAATATCATAATGATTTTTTATCCGTTTTGGTTTTAAAAATGTGAAGGTGTGACTATCTGTCTGTAACGTTTAACGTCTAAACGGCCTAACAGATCTTAATGAAATTTGGCACGAAGATAGACTGTGTCACGAGGATGGATATAGAATATCTCTTATCTAAAATTAAGAACACAAAGTTAAGGGTAAATGCTCAATAAATAACTTCAAGTGTGAAGCAAGTGGTTTAATAGTCATATACTTCTTTCTTTCTTTCTTCATCGAAATCACTATCTTTCATTGACACCATAATGTCACAATATTGACAAACGTGATCAGACCCTTAATTAATCAATCATGTAAACCTGTTGCTATCGATTCTCGTTAATAACAGTTTAAAGTCAACAGATTTACGATTATGAATACACCACGGTAGCAATTACATACCCTACAATTTAGCTTGTAACTGCAACTCTCAAATGATTTATAGAAAATATTAATCGTAAACTTATAGATTTTTATTTGTCACATAGTCAAAATCATTTATATGCGTAAGGTCATTTATATCTTAAATTTTTTTATGACTATCCCTATATTACTCAAACTCCTTCAGTTAAAAATAACGGGCAAGACTTCATACTCGTTAAATTTAATTTTTTTATATAAAAATAAATAAAAATTCTAAAATAACATTAGACAAAGTTACTGCTTATAACATTATATATCTGCAAGTAGAAGTCCCGTTACAATCGGTTGAGCCGTTTCAGAGATTAGCACGAACAAACAAACCGACAAACAAAATTAAACACCCGAATTTTTTTTTAATTATTCTTTATTTTGTCTACCGTATATAGGTACCTACTTTTAAATGCATTCAATGAAAAGCTCTTAATTTAAAATTACAAACAGATATTTCAATTTTATTTCATCATCATCATCAGCCTACTGCATCACGGTTGGATATAGGCCTCTGCAAAGGCACGATCTTCAGTCCTTCTGTTCGAGGTATTACCTGCAACCCTACATATGACGTCGCTCCGTCTAGCAATTTTATTTATTCGTGCAGATTTGTCTGTTAGAAGCAATGTTACATAATAAATCAAGTGTCCAATTGTGAAGAAGTTTCATGGTTATCAACGGCAATTGTTAAGTTATTGACTGCAACCAATTGATATGCAAGTGATGCAGTTTCAATCAACGCGTCATTATTTTATAAATATTTCACATTGTCCTTAGTGTGCCAATGACCAAAACGATTGGACCGATCAATTGGGACCTTGTACCTAAATCAATATTTTATAACTAGCGACTACGTTCGCGTGGAATTTAACATTTATTTATTAAAATATAAATAAATTTTCAAAACATAACAGTAGTCTTAGTTATTTCTAACATACATAGGTACTTATATCTATTTGCGAGTGAAAAATTATGTTAAATTATTAAATTTACGTTCATGCCAAAACGGCCTAGACACGCCACTAAAATCAGAGACAACAACGGGAAGTGCCCTGGGCCGCTTACTAGTTCGCCTCATCTGTAGCGAAATCAGGGACAAGCTACCTCTACAAATGATCCAATATAACGCCTAATGTATAAAGACCTGCCTAATGAATGACAATAAAACAAATATGTATTTTATAGTAGATAGGTATATCACGATAGCTATGTGTTTTATGATGGTACGTAGAACACACAAGGCCGAATTTCATCCCGAGCCGTAGACGAGGGCGTAATAGAGCCGAGTGTGTTAAATACGCACGTATATCGTACGACGTTTTACAACACACTTGATTTTATATAAATACAACCATAAAACTGTGATGCACACTGTTGCTTTTCCGCCGTTTTACTTTTTTTTATCGACCGCGGTGCGTACTGGCTAGCGACGCGCGACGTCAGTTCGAAATTTGAAAATAAAAAATGGCAAAAAGTGCGGTTATGGAATATAACTTACATTTGCGTTTCATTACTTGAGATTCGAAAACCGGTAAAATTGGATCCAATTTACGACCAAGTGAGTTGACAATTTATTTTAATTTAATTAGTTACATACTAATACATGGTTTTATTGTTAATTAGTTACATACAACAACAGGAACATTAGAATGTAATAATATTAACCAAGAAAAACAATAATAAACTTAAAAGCATCCGAAATCTACCTAGGTAGATAATATACTTTTCATTTGTTAGATTGGTGGAGTACCTAATAAAATAATAAAGATATCTGCCTCATAAGATAAACAATCTTTATAGTATAATTGAGTAATATCTATTGATAAAAGAAAGAAATATGTGGTAGTTAATAATATTAAGTATTACAAAAGTAACAAACAGTACTATCTATCATCATCACACATATTAAAGTGTGTTTTGTTTGATATTAAAGAATTTAAAATGTATGACTACAACAAAGCATTTCTATGTCCACATTTCCGGTAGCAACCATTGGTTGGTGGTTGTTGGTTCCTTGGTCGGTAGGTTGGTTGCAACTTCTCGCTACCGAGCCCGTGCTGCGCGAAAGTGAAAATTTGCTAGGCACTTTCTCCCCACCGCCGGCGTGTCGGCCGCATCGCCCCGCCCCTCGCTGCACCCCCGCGCGCCCGCACCCCGTGCCGCGCCGCAAGGTCAGCCCCGCGTGCAGGCGGGTGGCGAGGCGGCGGCGCGGCGACGCGCTGCGCTCTTGAAATTTCGCTTTCGTTCACTCGCGGTTATTAGTCGGCCGCGCGCGCTCCGGCAAGCATGTGTTTCGCGTGACGCGCTCCACTATTTCTACGCGCACGTTCGATTTCGTTGGCAATGGCACCGCGCCGGCAAGGCGCTACCGGCGAACGCGAGCCGGACGACACCCGCGGGTGCTGCGTCCCCGGCGAATGCCTTCGTCCCCGGGAGACTGTACGCGTCGAAGATGCAGTCCGCGTGCTATGCAACAATGACACGTGCGCCTCCGGCCGGTACATGCACCGAGAGTGCTTCGAGCAATGGGAAGCCGGCGTGCTCGCCTATCTGAAATCCTGTGGCCGGGCACGCTCTTGGTCTGAAAGACAGCGACATCAGAATCTTTGGACGAAGAAGGGTTATGATTTGGCGTTCAAAGCGTGCGGATGTCGATGCGGGCGCGGGCATTTAAAGAAAGATCTTGACTGGGCGCCACCGGGAGCGATGGTGAGGGCCGAAGACGACAAGAAGAGACGCCGAAGGGCGAGATCTGGACGAGCACCGGCGGTGGCCGACGGGCGAAGCAGAGCATTCAGTTTATCAAGTTCGGGGTCCTGTTCACCTCCTTCTGCTCCTTCGGAGCCGTCTGCCAGTCCCACTCACGCTCCTGGACATGCTGTGACGCCGGCCAAGAGAAACTCTAAACCTGAGATCGTGTCTGACAGGGTCAGGTAAGGATTTTACAATTTTATTTATATTTTATTATTTAAATTATTTAAATAACATTGGGTACTTACAAATAATAGAAACTTATAAATAGTAGGTAAGTATATGTAATGTGAGAAGATTAAATAATGTTATGCAATAGCTACATCCTGCCATGTAGGTTTATCTGGTCAGCAAATTGAGCAGTAAGCACCATAATTGATACACCATAAATATGCCCATCTAGAAAACGCGTGGGACTTGATTGGATGCACTGTCGCATCCCACTTGAATTATTATTGCTTTTTAATCAATCTACCTACATATTGTAATTGAAACCATACTGATAGTAGATATTACAAAAAATCTGTATACTCGTATGTGTATTGAATAAATATCTACCATATCTTAACGTTACTGAAGAAGGTTGAGTGAAATAGGTAGGTAAAATTGGGGAAAAGATGCAATTTACTACTGGCTACTGATATTATGTTAAGAAACCTATTAACATTCCCCAAAGAAAAGAACAAGAACAAGAGTGAAAAAAAAAAAAATATAAACGAGCTGTTTCAGTTACTGTGGTAATTTCTTTTTTTATTTTTATATGTGGTAAACCTTTGATATCTAATATTGTATCTGAATATAATTTATCTTTCGACCACCAGAACGTTAAGAAAATTATTAATATCAACGATAAAATATTAAAGCTTACTTGCAAACGAGTGGGGTAATAATTCAAAACAACATAGTAGTTGCGTTTGGTCGTTTAATATCGCATCGTACATAATTGTAGAGGAACAAGTTACAACTGGTGATCAGAACTAGGAAACTGGTTTCGTTCAGAAGCAGGCTATTCTGGCCTTAGTTGTCTATTCTCTATTGAATTCAAATTCGAAATTCAAATTGTATGACATGGTCTAATAAGCAGGTACTCAGGCTCGCGAAACAATCAAACAAAAGGAACAGATTAATTTGTGTGTGAAACTGTGTAACATTTTTTTTCAGCACGGCATATTTGCGTACAACATATATTAATTTTGAAGATTTGTGTCCTGCGAAACTGTGGCAAACTTTTCTTTTTTAGGGCCGCTACAAGTTGTTACATATTTTGTTAAATTCTCATCGGGATGCTGCCGCGGTGCCAACTCTTAAAGTTAATTAAGTACTATGTGGTACATATTAATAATAAAATGTTATTAACAAAATGGAAAGATTTTATTATCATTTTGTAATGATAAAATAAAAAAAAATACTTATCATATTTAAGTAAATAATTCTTTCACAAATATGACTAAAAATATTTAAATTATTTCAATATTATAATAAAATGTTTTATGGATTCATTTAAAAAATTGGCGACCCTTACAGCAAATGCCCGGGGCTGCGCGCTTGTGTTTATATTATATTTACTTTATTTGATAGTCCTCTTGTTATCTTCCGCTGAATCATCATCGTAACAGTTGAGTTATTAATAATAGGCAACATTAGCAATAGATGTAGGTATCACCATTCCATTATCATGTATTTAACCGCGGACAAACAAACTTGTCTGTTTCTTCTATTTCTGCCGCCAAGCAGCTTATTTTTCAAGCTGTTTCGGTTGAAGGTTGTGATAAAAACAAGGAGCACAATGGCAATACATGATGATGTGATGTCCGTAGTGCTGTTCTTGTATATAGACCGCCGTCTAAATTATCTGATGGTAAGTGGCAACCGTCATTGCCATACCATCAGATGGATCGTCAGCTTGTTTACCATTCAGAGAAGAAATTTTAAATTCATGGCAGAAATTATATTGAAATGAAATACTATTTATTCGGCGGCTTATAAACACTACACTTATAATTACAATAAAATTTAATATAAAATGAACTTATATAATAAACATACACAGACACAGAATATTAAAACATTACAATTCTCAAAAACCTATTATAAAAAAAATATACAATACAATTTCTTACTTTATTCAATATACCAAACGCAATTATGTTCGGTGCGTAGGAACTAAGTAGCTGCTAAGTTATGTAGATATAAATTATATAATGTATATGTAGGTACATCTAACAGATAAGAGAGTGCACGAAAATATAAAACGATCTCAGATATAGATAGTAAAAGATAATAATTTTCAAACAAAACATCTTACGTTATCAACATAACAATAACACAGGTTATATAAGTTTGCGTTGTTTTTTAAATTAACACTAGGTATATGCCCATACAATAATTTATACCCACATAATCCATACGTTTGTTTTAAGTTGTTTATATTACAAATTGCTATTCAGTGCAATGAGTCAGTGCAGTAACTACTTTATTGACGCGCATTAAAGTACTTATTTCTTTAATTGCCGTAAAGTCTTATTCACAAGATTGTTCTATCAAATGTTTGCTATTTTTTTTATGGATTAACCCTGAAAATTGGGAAGTGGACTTTTCGTATCTTTTCATGAATAAACGGGTGAATGGATCGTAATGTTTGACGTGGAAATAGACTGTATCAAGAGAACGTACATACTAACAAACAGTCGAAGTCGCCAGTAACAGTTAATAAGTGATAAAAATAGTAAACGTTATCTATACAAATGAATAACTTTACAGATATCATGATTTCTAGCGGTAAAGGAATGTATGAAGTCTTATGAAAAGTTATCATTTTTATTATGTTATCCGGTATTGATATTAAGTAAGCATTTAAAAACCCGAAACCTAACTAAGAACAAAGTAAAGTATTTAGTGCTTATACCTACAGAATGAACTAAAAAAAATATTTTATCTAAATTTACCTATCTTAATTATTTCTTATGACAAATATAATACAATGATAATTTTACGGAACTGGTTCCACTTGTTATTCAGAGACACACGTGTGTATAAAAGAGTGCACCACTTTACTAACAGTTAAAACAATGTTTTCTTTAACATTTAGTATTTAAAAAAAACAAGCCTTTGTTATTCTAAATAATACGCTTACCAAGTCGCGGCAAGAGCTGGTGTACTTTTTTATATAATTTGAATAACAAACAAGCTGACGGCTCACCTGATGGTAAGCCGTCGCCTATACGTGAACAATACTACGGACATCATATTATCATGTAACACGAGTGTTGCCGTTCAAGACGACTAAGATGTCAAAATACAGCTTAAAAAGCAAATCGCTTGACGGCTGAAATACGTCAGACTAAGGTAACCACGCAGACATTTTAGAACAATCTTAGATATCAAAAATGGTAACAATGGTAACCATAGTGGAATATGAGCTGCAATGATCAACATCATAAAAAACGGTCGTAATTATTTTATCTCATTTAGATGTTTGTTCCTATAAGTTAACGCATTAATTATCTTTTACACGTGTCGTAAATATTTTTCTGGACAGTAAAGCATTTAAACACATACATAATCTTATTTATAAAAGTCTCACGGCTGATAAAATGGCCAAGGACGACTTGTTACCAATGTAACATTAATATAATTATTACAAGTTGTTTACCGAAGTAAAATTATTTTTAGACTAGATATTTTCAGTTGACTACATCTCTACCACGAATTATTACTTTCTATTGCCAAATTTTGTCTGTTAAATAGACAATAAGTGATGTTAATAAAAATTTTACCCGGGACAATTCACACAACGTAATCCAGTTCCACGCTGAGCAGAGCTTGTGTTTTAGCTACTAAGCAACTAACAGAAATAGATTATAAAAATAGAAGGTGGTGTATTGTAAAAATACAGGAAATTATTACATCCCGACGGGGTTTATTTTACTTAGATGTCTTTAGCTTATATGTGAACCCATGTCTGGCATTTTCTGTGAAAATTTCATTCTAATTCTTCCAGGCGTTCTTATGTAAAACCTTAATACACTAATAATAACACTTAAAACTATAATTTTCCGATTTTGTTAAGTATTAGATCGTTATTATTATAAAATAAAAAACAAAATAATTGCTGAATAGCTTAGTAAATGGCAAATTATATCTAAATTCCACAGCGTAGTTTTATATACCCTATTTTTTTATAACGTGATATTCTTCTAGTATTTATTTCCAGATTATTTTAAATAAACTGTGATATGGAAAAACCCGTAGCTACCTGTTTCGAAACGATTTTTGCGAACTATTGCGTTGTAGCCTTGAAAAGTGGCATAAACTTTTTTACCTACAATACTCATTTGATCTAGATTGGGGCTACGCCATAAATATTTCATTATCCGGTATCGCACGCTCGGTCCTTTGTTTTGTTTGTTTAGGTATCTGACTATAAATTAAATTATATGGTGTCTTCATTTGACCGTTACGTTTTTTTGTACCGTACATTAATTGAATATGATGTTTAAATTATTGAATAATACCTATATTGATTAAAATATTTTAAATACATTTTTTAATTACAATTGGTAATTTTATATTAAAAAAATGAATTTATAACTAATGTACTTAATACAGTCAAAATTTACCGATATTCTAAATTTTGATAAAGTATAAGGTATCATAATTTATTTCTTTAGAGTCAAAAAATATACTCATATCCCCATCAATATAATAAAAAAAACCGCTTTTGAAATTATCTTTGTATTTTAAAATTTTCACATTATTCAAAAACATACTAACAAAGAAAATATAATATGCTAGTTCATATTTTATCAGAAACAGGTGTATACGGAGGAGTATACAGAGTTCATTTCCGTGAAAACAACGCATCCAATTACCTGCCAATTTCGTTTAAAAACAACTGACACTACACTTTTTATGCAACTGTTAAAAGGAAGCCAAATTATTGCTTCCGAGCCACCGACTCGACTTTGCATGGGTATTTCAAGTGAGATTACGGTCACACGAATTTACGCTCAAATTTAGAAATAAAAAAAAAAATGACGCAAATTCTTCAAGAATTATACATCTAAACCTTTCTCACAAGTCACTGTGAATGAATGATATTTACACTGAAAATCCGTTCCGTAGTTTTTGATATTACCACGAACATTCATACAAAGTCTGAGGAATTTGTTTTATAATGTGT